CACCATGGCCACCCCGGAATACTTAATTGGCTTGGAGATGGCGGGGCGCAGCAGCTCGAGAAAAGTATCGAGTTTACGTGGCAGCCCCGCCACGGTGGTCTAGTGGTTAAGGTACTCGGCTGCTGACCCGCAGGTCGCGGGATCAAATCCCGGCTGTGGCGGCTGCATTTCTGATGGAGGCGGAAATGTTGTAGGCCCGTGTACTCAGATTTGGGTGCACGTTAAAGAACCCCAGGTGGTCAAAATTTCCGGAGCCCTCCACTACGGCGTCTCTCATAATCATATGTTGGTTTTGGGACGTTAAACCCCACAAATCAATCAATCAATCATAGAGTTTACGTGGCAGCATTCCCAAGAAGCTAAACACCGTCAAAGTAAAGAGAAAATAAATTGTGCACTATCTTTTCCCCTTATTCAGAAGCGTTTTTTTGTCTTGAACTTGACTTGTCACCGCCTTCAATGCAGCGCGTTGGAACGCGTTTGTGCTTCATGCGTTGGCAACGACTTAAGACACCATGTTCGAGACGCGTTTGTGCTGCATTGTAGGCTGTGGCAAGTCAAGTTAAACTCAAGAATCGTTTCTGAATACGTACGACTCTCGCAAATACTCCTCGTCATCTCAGCGCAGCTCGGGAGGTAGGCGGCTTGCATGGCTGGCCAACTCCCGCGATCGAAAGGACGGTCACACCCACTACCGGCTTTTTTCCTTTGGAGGCATCTGTGATGCAAGTGCTGACACCATGGCACAGCGCACCAGCACCATGACAATGTCTTGTTCTTCGCTTGAATTGAACTTGACGCTGTTGGGAACGCTGAGCGAGAACGGACGAAAACAATAAATGCGGTGCGCTCGGTTTGCTCCGCTCGCTCAGCTGGCGGCGATCAGCTGATCCAGAGTTCTCACTGATAACGAGATCCGGACGGGACTTTCCGGTTTTGTGACTTCCGGTCACTCGCATGCAGCCTCTGTCGATGTGAACATCAGTGGCTTTTCGGTCGCCAGTCACGAGTGGTCGCGCGACCGCTGCTAGTCGCCGGTGTGCAGCCTTTAGGACAAAGAACTTGGTAGCTTCCAAGTATGGGCCACGGAGGCAGCCTATAGTTCGCGCCAGAAGGTGCTGTACTGCTATTCGGTGGGCGTCAGTTTCTGCGCAAAGAACGCGATTGGTCACCATACTCCTTCGATGCATTGTTGAAGTGCGGCACCCACAGCTGTGCCTGATGCATTGACCATAAGGCACTGCAGACCTTCCTGTTATGGGTAAGTGAGAAATGCAGTGTCACCAAGAAGTCTCTTGATTGCCTGGAAGGCCGCTTGGGCACGCTCCATCCAATGAAGTTCCTTAGCAGCACACTTGTGTCGACAGCAGGAGGTGAAGAGGCTGCAAAATAGCTCGACACTAGGTTGTAAAACAGCGGTAGTAGTCCACAAGACCAAGGAACTCGTGGAGCTGACGTTTAGTGTTGGGTCGTGTGAACTGCTTGACTGCTTTGACCTTGTCTGGATAAGGTTTAATTCTGCAGCTCGAGATAACGTGGCCAAGAAACCTGAAATCGTACAGCCCAAACTCAGGCTTGTTTATGTTCGCCAGTATTCCATGCTCTGCCTGGCACTGAAACAGAGATCGTAGATGCACCCCATGCTCATCTGGTGAGCTGCTTGCAATGAGTTTTGTGGTGTGCATGACAGAAGTCAAGGCCGCGCAAAACACTTTTAATAAGGCGTTGGAATGTCTTATAGAGTTTCGCAAGCCAAACGGCATGCGGAGGAAGTCGTACAGGCCGAATGACGTTGTTATCATTGTCTTCGGGTGTCTTCTGGGGCCATGGAAATTTGATGGTAGACATGTACGAGGTTGATCTTAGAGAAAAGTGTCGTACCATGCAGGTTGACCTTGACATCGTGAATGTGTGATAATGGGTAACAATCAGGCTTGGTTGCTTGGTTGAAGGCTCAATAATTGCCGTAGGCCCGCCAGTGTCTTGATGTCAATTTTGGCATCATGTGTAGCGGTATGCCCAAGGGCTTGCGGATGGGCCAATTATGCCGAGCTCGAGCATGTGGTGGAACTTCTGTCCTCCTACTTTCAGCTTCTGGCGGAACAAGTGGCGTGGGCGTGTGGAAACCGGGGGTCTTGTGGTGGAAATGTGGTGAAATACAATGCGCTTGGCGCCACCGCCAGTCTGTGGCGTTCGCGTGCACTCGAGGAACTCGCATAGGATAGTCGTAAAACATATAACGGGTGGTGACCGATGGTACCACGTGTGTATGACTGAGAGGCGGAGGCTTAAGTGACTTTCAGTGCACTTCTGCTTGTGAGTGGGGACTGTATATGGTGGTTTCATACATCAACAAACAGTCCAAAGTGACGGAAGAAGTACACTCCGAGGACAGCAAATTTTACGTCGGCTACCACAAATATCCAGCCGAATGTCCTCTTGAAGCCCACATCTAGCAAGAAAGAGCAGCGCCCGTACGTCGGTATCGTCGTGTTATTTACAGCTTGCTATGGCGACAAGCTTGGGTCTGTGCGATAGACTGGCGACACCGACCGCACGCTCAATTCTGCCTTAGGGTAGACTGGAAAGTGGGTGCCTTTCTTGCGACCAGACAAGAAGAAGACAGATGGGCGACATTCCCCTGATCCGGTGGCACCTGTCGCCCTCAGTGCTCGCTTGGTGCATTTACGATTTCTCGAACGGCAGCACACAGTTCCGTGCAGTGTCACCGAACTTACGGTGGTACCAGCACAGCTGTCGCCGTTGTTCTGCAGCATGCCGCTGTGTTCTTTGGCTTGCACTTGACTGTAGTGCCGCAATGTTTTCGGGAAGGTGAGGAATTGCTGCCTGAATCTCCACCAAGGTGCGAGACAGGAAGGCGTCGGCAAGCAAGGTGGCCACTGCTGACTGGGTGATGGTCATGAGTTTGTCAGCCAGTTTGGCGATCTTGTGAACTTTCATCTATCCAGAGGCCGTGATGCCTATCTGTACGATCGTGCAGAATTTTCAAAGGAAAAGCTTCCGCACTCGGCGATTGTCGAGGCTTCCTGTGCTGCCCGCTAGTTACAACATCTAGTGCAGCAGTTGGCTTGGTGGACGATCACCCAGTTCAGCCTCGCGTAGCAGCTGCCGTAGGCGCTTCGGCTCTGAAAGGGTCACACGGCCAATCAGTCTCTCTTTTGCATTCAATATGGATTTTCTGCTGGTGGGGCAAGCAGCATGTAGCGCACCTCACTCTCTGTGGCAAGTGGAATGTTGGCCACGTGGTAGTATTTGGTGGTGTCGGCAGTGATGCGGCGTGCGGCAAATTGAAATTCTACCTGAACAAACCAAAGTAACGAGTCCGTGGTCTAAAATAGAGGAAGCTTCATGTATAATACATCCACTGTCAAGCTGTCAACGACCTCGTGTTGCTCCATGTTCGGGGCTATGGGTCAATATTTGTTGGTATGCTCTAGTGATGCAGATACGAAGCGTGTTGCTGAGAGTCTCGATACCAACTAACTTTATTCATTCAACCAAGCTCAACTCCGGGATCAGTATCCCTTTCCACTCCCTCTCCACGTTTTTTGTGGCAGTGCAAAGGAATGTTGGTCTGCGACATGCTGGTAGCGCCAGCTGCTGCCCTTGGCGCACTTAGAGTTCACCACAAGCCTCAGAAGCAGTCAATAACCTTGGGGTTTCTCGTGTCAGAGACCTCAATGTGCTAACTTCTTGCGCAATCCAAGCCTGCTCTAGACGCAGAGTGTGGAAACCCAAAGGAACATTGGGAAGCTTGGATGCATTCCAGGTCTTGCCATCATCGCAGAGAAAAGAAGACAGGGTACAAAAAGGAATGTCTATACTGCTCCAGTACTTCAGAAGAACTGTCAAACGAGCGGTCTCGCCACACCTTAATGGTCTCGCCACACTTTAACTCAACTGCGATGTCGGTTGTATTTGCCGCTCACCAGAAATTTCTCTGCTTCTTGCTGCTTTTTTGCTTATACTTGACACAGCTGATTTAGCTCAGTGGCTGGGTCTTTGAAGAAAGACTCAGCCCTAAAGATCCAATTTCAAAGAGTACTGGTGCTCTAGGATCCCTGCGGGTATATTCTTAGCAGCATTCTATGAAGTCGCAGAGCCTGAGCAATTTCCGTGGTAGCGATGCACTGTCTACTGGTAGATGCTAAGGTACTCGACGAGCACTGGGCAGAGTGGTTAATGTTTCAGTTATGCTGTGTTCATGAAGTTCTTGAGACATGACCAAATTATTCCCCAAGTTCATTTACATAAGGGTAGTATAATTAAAAGTGCAAGAAGTGAATGGCAACATCCTTTAGAAACATCCACATCTCGCTGAAAAACTATACTTGAGGCCAATAGTACGTGGAAGTTTTGCGATAAAGTCAGCTAACAAGAATTCTGTTGGATGAATGCACAACGGTGCCAGGCCTTGATCACTTCTTCATACGTGCTGCACGTACATTTCGGCAGAACAGAAAACATGGCCACTATCAACAAATATGACACCACACAAGTTTCATGTATTTAAAACCTAATTTTTTTTTTTTTGCCATGGAACTGTTTGCAATGTTGTGCATTGTGCAGACTGAGTGGTTTGTGGTATAGAGAACGCGACATGAGCACTGCACCTCTCGAATAAAGATTCGAGGTCTTAATAGGAAGCCACTGTGACACGATGAGCACATCTGCACTTCAACAGGGCATCAGACTTTTCTCACACAGAATCAATTGAGTCACGATCAATTGATCCCTAATTCAACAAAACTAACTAATATAATTACTTGTTTTTACTGTACTATTATATTATTATTATTCCCATTTCTTCACTTCCTACAAGGCAAAAAAATTTGCAAGCTGATACCTAGATGATACAGTTGCAAACCAAATGCAATAGAAGTCAAGAGCCAAATCTAATGTCCCAGTAAGCATCATGTGCATGTTCTGTGAAAGTAACAAAGATGCTGGAAAAACAAACTGATAACAAAGAAGGATACGATATAGCTGTGATATAGTGATGATATTGTCTTCACCAGCTGTGGCAATGTAGCTCTGGGAAACTGCAAGTAAAAAAAAAGTGCAGACAAAAGGCTTCCAAATAACAACATGAACACAGCACATTTGTTCACCGTCTCTGCATGCAATTTGTAAAAGAAATGCATGAAAAAAACACACAATAAAACTTCACTTGACCTAACTTCAAGGGACCCAAAAAAAGTTCATCAATGTGAGAGCATGTTGAATTGAAAAGCTGGAACTACTTGTGAGAAGGTAAAAAAAAATATCAATTGTTGTTATTAAATACAAAACCTTTTATTTGATATGCTGTTTATGTTATGTGAATTACTGCTTACTTTGCATGTTTTCAAAAATGTAGTAACCATCTGCTGCACATGTGCACTTGGAACTGCAGAGGTTATGAAATGAGTCACCGTGTTCAAGGTCTCATAAACCTTCTCTGGCACAACAGTCTGCTGAGCTGCAAATGAATTCACTTTTTTTAGTACATTAGTGATTCTTCACCTGAAATTGTTGGTCCTGCAGTAACAGAAGAGACTTTTTGCTTTTAGGAGCATAGTTTGATCAGAAAAATCACTACTTTGGAGCAGCCATGTTTTCAGAGTGGAAAAAATGATAGTTTAGAGCAGCTATTGGCATTTTAAGAGCAGAAACAAAATTTGCCATACACGAATTGGAGTTCGTATCATTTTTGAACATCTCTTAAATATTCATATTGACCAAGAAATATATTTACCAGACAACAATCAATGTATATTTCAGAAAGCAAACAGTTAAAATATGGCTGGTTGTCAAAAATTTGCCATGAAATGAGCTATATATATAAAATAGGGTACAAGTACTGGTGCCAGAAATCAAACCAAACCTGTAAAGCTGAGCACCACAATTTAAAAGTAACCACAGCTCTATATAACTGTTCAGGCATGAAATAGGCATGAAACTGCGAGTTGCCAGTAACGCAGGAGTGAAGCGAGGATCTCAAGTGGCACTGTATATCTACAGGATGTCGCACAACCTAAAGAAGGTTGTCAGCAAACACTGTCGTGTTCAATGCCCTTGAAAATTGAGTAGTCTTTATGCGGGTGTATGCTATAAAAAAGAGAAGTTTGGATGCAAAAAAAGACATGCAATGCCATACGTAAAGTGGGCAATAGGCGTCGCATATGCCATACAACTATGGTGTGGAAAAATCTGCCTAGGTCCAACTGAGAGGTGCATTAACAAACGTGCGTGGTTAGATGAGTTGTCGTGAAAAAATAAAGGTAACGCATTTGCTCAACCTGCATGTGTGCACCGCAGTTAAGCGAGATCAAGATCTTTGGCAGAGGTGGTAATGCCTTCGCAAGGAAGCCACTGGAAGCTTTCCATATCAAGCGCAAGGACACAGTTTTTATAGTGACACATCCATTAATTTTTTGGGCAATGAGTTGAGACTTTTTAGATCAATGCTTGATTAACTATGCCCACGATTCCGCCCATGCGTTTTAGGTGATCTCTCTTTTTTTATCAGTTTGTCCTAAAAAGGGTCAGTTGATGTTCGCTTTCCCCATGTGCTGTATGTTTTCATTCTTGGCCAGTTCTTTCTTTTTCCTGACTGCGCTAAAAAGTATGATGTTTGGTTTGGGTTATTTGATGCAAAGTATCATCATTTAGCTCAATCTGGTGCGTGGCATGAGCACCCTTACTGCGCGTGCGCTCCCCTTCCCTCTTTCCTCTCCAAGCTCTCAGTCTCTCGCCTCGAAACGCCGACGCAAGCAGCGTCTGCTAGCCTACGCTTGCTCCCCATCTCTTTCCTCTGGGCATCCTTCCCTGTGGCACTTACATCCCCACTGTGCATGCGCACCCCCTTCCCGTCTTTCTGCTCTCCTATGCTCCCCCTCTCTCGCCTCGCAATGCCAATGCAGGCAGTGTCTGCAGTGGGTTTTTTTATTGAAAAACGGACTGCTCGCACTGCACGACCATTCACTGGCTACCCCTTATATAAAGGCAGGCACCATATCTCGACCTCCACGGTAGTGCAGATGGTAAATTTCTCCTGTACGTAGTTGAACAGTAAAAAATTTGAAACATGCGTGTTAACTATAAGCGGGCTGTCGGTCTCTGTGTTCAATCAGAGTCTTCTGCATCTCATTGCCCATTAGCAGCGATTGGCATGTTCCAGTAGAAAACACCGGTCTGTCACTGCTTGTTTGGTACCTTTCCAAGTTTCTTTCCTGCGCAATGCCGCGATGAGCGCCAGCAGCAACGCCGTCACATGTGTTTGCAGTAGCGTCAGCTGCTTCGCATCTACACATGGTTCTTTTTAGAGGGAGATGGCGTATGTTTTTCACATGTGTTTACTATAACATACCAATTTATAAAAAGTCATGTAAGCTTTTTTTCTTTAAATAATTTTACTACTGGATGAACAGGCCAAGTGTATACAGTTATAACTGCTTAAAACAAACCTCACCTCCACATAACTAATTCCTCGATATAACCAAGTTTTTCTATTTCCCGCGGTTTCTCCGTGGAAGCACATGTATTTGTGACCTCTATGTAACAAAGTAACAGAGGGAGAAAACCAAGATTTACCATACTACGCAAAAAACGAACGGAAACACGAAGTAGAGAAAAAGGACAGACAAGCGCAGTCTGTCCTTTTCCCCACTTCCTGTTTCCGTTCGTTTTTTGCGCAGTACATTATAAATCAGTACCAACTTGCCTATCCAGCCATTCTTCTCAAGAAACAACTAATTTTTCTCACGAACAATCTAGGAATATTGCCCCGGATTTTGGTAAGAGCATGCATCTTTCGCGACTGCCCCGCCGCCGACAAAGCGCGAAGTGGCGGCGGCGAGCACAGCGCAGCAGTCGAGAGCGAGCGCTTGTGATTGCGCACAGGTGAGCGCAAGGTAAGCAGGTGCCCCACGAGCCGGTGTTGTCGCCGTTCTTGCCACCGCGGACACACGCGCGGATGTGCCCCTTCCTTTTCCAAACCCAAAACAAAACAAAACAAAGTTTTGCATTGGCAGTGCCACGTTTTTAGTTAGCGTCACATTTGTTGAACAGCGCTGCATATAGAGGGTACTTTATCGTGTAGTTTTCATAATATCTATATCTGCGTTTGTGTCAGTCGCTCTTCGTTTTTGATACCGTGCGCGTGTGCATGGTTTTACTGCCAGCGCATGATCTGGCTTTCGGCGACATTCAGCTTTGCTTTTTTTTTTTTTAAATGCGGACAACTGTGTCGTCCCCACCAAGAGGATGTCAGATTAGGCGCTCATGGAAACCCTTCGAGACCACTGTGATGACTGATCTTTGGAGGTCGACTACGCGCTTCTGTCTTGCGCTGCGCTGAGAGTTCGCGGGCTCGTAGCTTTGGTCATAAGTCGATTATTCTGCCAACATTACGACGGTGCATTTATTGCAATGCAATGAATGCGATAGCAAATATTTGTAATACGTTACATGAAGTAAGGCTGGCCGCCAACTCTTTTGGATCTGATATCGCGGAACTTCTACAAAACGCTGGTGTGAACAAATACGGCCGCTCAAAGGAGAAGTGCTTTTTTCACACAGTCTCTTCATGTTGATAGTGCACCGATAATTGCCAAGATAACTAGCACACCAGTGATTGCGACTGCCCTTAAAATCAAATTTCAGTCTTCATTGTTGCTTAGTGATCTCCCTCCGCCCCCTTCACCCCCCCCCCCCCCTTTGTCCCGCGTTTTTTCTTGAAATTTCAAGAAGGTTGGCTTTCTTTCTGTTTAAGCATTCGACGGCAGTTCTAACATGCGGGGAATTATATCTGATGCACCTCTAAGACGATAGAGATGGGCCGACTTGACTCATTTGGTGCCTGCTCCAGCAGCGCTTGCACGCTTTTACCTGCTTGTGAAAGTTACAATACACCGGGGCATGTTATCAATTTGATCTTGTTACGGAACATGGCGGCGACGACAAAAACCCGCCGAGAGTGTTCATGTAATTGCTATTGCAATAGTAACGCAGTTTTTTACCTCTAAATAAAAGACTTGGTTAGCTCTGCATTCAGTCTCTTTTTGTTCATTTTGTGCGTTTATTTTCTGAATTTTCGTACCAAATCTGCATAAAACGAAATCCTCTTTGTAAGAAATTTTTCTGAAAATTATTCAATTTCATTATGTCCAGGTTTAACTGCATAACTACAGAACAATACTTTTTCATCACTTCATGGTCACCCTAAAAAAATTGAAGCAGCTTTGCACTAGTGGGGCCAAGCCAGAAGGAACAGTTGAACTGGGCAGAATTTATTGTTTATGTTTCTCAGTTTTTAGTTCTATTTTTCTCTTTCTTTTCTTTCTCTTTCTATTTCTCTCTACCTAGTTCTCTCCATCATTATTTCTTTCTAAATATGGAGTACAGTCAAAGAGTAAAACCAAGGGTGCCAATGCAGCAAGAAGACGCCTGGAATTTTCAGCCAGATTCAAGCTGGATGCCCATTTTAGTGACCAGGCAACACAATTTGTAAATGGGGCTATAGTTAGTTGACAGGCAATGACATTTCGATCACGTAAAGCCACAGTTCATGCATTACCAGAACAACCCCAAGTGCTTCGGCCATTCTGCTATGTGCCTGGAGCCACATGTGACAGCTGGGAGTAGTTCTACTACTATTATCTGTTGAGCCCTATAGACTAGTGACACCATAACATCACCAAGCACTGATTCCACACTTCAGCTTCCTCGAAGAACTCGGGAATGCTGTCCCATACTTCGAGTGTCTCCATAAACTGTAACTACTTATGTTCCACTGATCTGCTGTATAAAAGGGGAAGGATGTGTATTAACTGTAAGGGGCATCAGTGCCAAGTTCATGCAGTAGCTCTAGCCAAGTCGGCTATGGGGTGCCCTCTATGTTGTAGTAGAAAAAGAGTATGTTGGAAATGAATGGGGGCACTTCTGGTGGGGACATGAATCATCAGTTTTGACCCCCAGACCCCGAGTCTTCAGCCTGCATCCTCAACCACCTCAGCTCAAAACCACCCAGAAAAGTTAGGGACACCATGAAGGAACATTA